CGTCTGCGTCCTTCGACAATCCAGTTCCCATTGCTGGCCACTCCAATGCTTCTCAGGTCTGTTGATTTTGGAGATAGATAGAGAGAGTTATCATAGTGCGTTTCAAGCAAGTGGTTGTGCGTGAGTGGATTTTTTTCGGGATAATGGGGAATAAAAAAGAGAGAGGGTCTAGAGAATAAGAGATGGGGATGAAAATGATTTTTTTTCGCTGGGTTTTGTGCGGTTGGATTTGTTTGTAGAGTGTAACAGAAAGGGACGAGAGGGGGGAGAGGGGAGAGTTGGGGATGGTTTGTTCGATTTATGTATATGTTGAAATTGGAGGGGCCAGCGCTGATGCTTGGTGGTCCAACTTGCAGGGCACGGGCGGGCGATACTACTTTCATCTCACTCCAAGAACTTTTTGGGAATACAGTTGCACCGTTTCTAAAAAAATTTAATATTTAATTTAAATATTAAATTTTTTATATATTTTAAATTATTTTAAAACGTTAATTTTAAGAATAAATTTTAAAAAATAAAAAAAATATTATTTTAATATATTTTAATATAAAAAATACTTTAAAAATAATCATAATCATATTTTCAAACAGATTAATTTATTTTTAAATTTATCATCACCCTACTCATATTTTTTTATAAAAAATTATTTTTAAATTAAAAATTTTATATTTTTAAATTATTTTAATACATGAATATCAAAAATAAAATTTAAAAAATAAAAAAATATATTATGTTAATACATTTCAAAACAATAAATATTTACAAAAAAACAATATTTATCATGATACAAAATCTCAGCAATAAAGTTGGCTTATTTTGAATATTTCTTTTAAGTTAAATTGATATATCAAGACATGATATGATTGGTAATCTAAAACAAAATTTAAGAATTATTTATTTGTTTCACTTAAATATTTTTTATAAAATACTTTATATGCAAAAAAAAATTAATATTTGATTTCAAAAATATTTTTTCATGCAAATATTTTTTAATGATAATGATAAAATGATAGAGATTATGAAAATAATATTTAAAAAAAAATGATAAAAAAAAGTAATTATTATGATAGTTAAAAATATAATAGTAAAACAATAACAGTAACAATAAAAATTTATTATAATAATAAAAAAAATATTATATACAATGATAGCGATAAAAGAATTGGTGATAAAAATAGTAATGATAAAAAAAAAAATAATGATTAGTGAAATAATTAGATAATATTGTAGTTAAAAAATATTTTTAATAGATAAATAAAAAAATTTTAAAAATATTTCCCTGTAAAGACTTTGACATGAAACAAAGACTCCCTTAATATACTATGCGAGACAATCCAAAAGCACTTTTATTATATTATTTGAAACTATACTCTAAACTATTATTCTAACTAGATATTTTATTAAGTCAAAACCCACAATCACATCTCAGCTGCTAAGCAAAGTGGTTCCTAGAGATTGAATTATAACTATATAATTGTTTAAACGGAGATAACAAATAATATATACAATAAAAAAATAGAAAATCTATAAATCTTTTAAAATGGATCTTCTAAAAAGAAAGCTACCTCTGCATCTCTCTTTTATTTTTTTATTTTCATTCGGATAGCTATTGACTGGTATTCCAAAACAAATTACTATCTCAAGTTAATAATGGCATAATTTATCACGCTGATATGCAAACTAGTGGTAGTTATTTTAGTTTTATTTTTTTAAAAAAAAAATTGATAGTTATTTTTTTTGTATAAAAACCCCAAAACCGTAGATTTCAATGGCAAAATCAGCGGTTTGGATTTCATTAGACATGGCAGGGAGACAAACCTTGACTCGTTATGAGAATTAGAACAAGCAAACAAGCCTCAATTTTCACAGTGGATCCGTTTCGAAACCCAATTCTATTGACCCAGACCGAATAAAGTGAGGTTTTGTGTATAAAAACTCCGAGAAGGGCCGAACCCCTTCGCGAGCTTGCAACTTGCATGTCCAGGCATTGGAGAAGCAGAAGGGTTTCTCTCTCGCTCCATTTGCTACAATGAGAGCCAAGGTGATCCAATCTCTCATTTCTAGAAAACACGAATCATGAAAAGCCTGTTTAATTAAAAGATTCGAGAATGATTAATTGGTAATGTTACCTGTCTTTGCAATGGAAGAAAAAGCGAACGAGGAGGTTGAAGAGAGAACGTCTAAAGATGAGGCAAAGATCCAAGTAGTTGCAGTTTTAGCTCGCCAAGGCATTAATTAATCTTCGATGCTACTTCCATTGTGAACCATTTTGTATTATGTTGAATCACTTGATGATGCTTCGGAAATTAATGGGTTTTTTCTTTTCTTTTCTTGTCATGTGGTGTGAATGAAAATGTCATGCAATCCCTGATCAGTCACTTGTCCTGCTTCCAACTGTTGTTTTGCTCCATAACTTGCTCGTTCTTTAGGCTTTGCTGCAATCCAAATAGTTTTCGCTGTTTCGGGGATAGGTGATTTTTAATCCCATTGCACCTAGCATATCAAAACTGCAATGTTCTTTTGTTAGGGTGAGAAACGTTGTCGTATACTCAAATACTTTGCTTTTTGAACGGGGTTCATGACAAATTCATGTATTTGTGCCAAGATTTCATGGTGATTATGGGATAAGCCGCGCGATGGAGTGAAGGAATGCTAGTATTTTGGAAGTTAGAAGCATGTTAGACAGATAAAAATTCATGGGAAGTGGAATCGCCTTCTGGTTTATAGGAATTGCGATTTGTTATATATGGGTCTTCTGCAATTTGCAGTGTAGGTGAGGAGATTTCATTGATTTGCTGGGATGCTTTATGCTTGTGCCGAGGAATTGATGTCAGGTGCACCATTAAACCCTCAAGGTCAAGTTCGACATTTTTCATTTTACTTTGCAGTATTGATTGTATGAAGTTCGTTTACTCTTTAAATCATATGATAGAATCCAATTTCCCTAAATGAATTTAGAATTCTCAATTTCGCTGGAGTAGTCAATCTCACCACTTATATATTCTGCACTCTGACCTTTTTAATCCAGCATTTGCCATCGCCGTCATGATTCCATCAACCAAGTTGTCTACTCAGATTATAAAATTATAAGAATTTTATATATATATAGTCTAAAAATCTTAAAATACATAGTTTAATTAAAAAATTATATATAATTATAATACAATTATTTATGTACATAGATTTTTATTGACTAACTTAAAAGTAATAGTTGCAATACAATTCTATGCTTTACGTAAGCTCCAAAAAGTCTAAGTTAGGATAAATAACATTAGATTTTTTTGTTCTATCTGTAACTTCGCGGTTAAACAAGGAGTCTCCTGTCTCCGCTGTTTCCATGAGAGAATTTTCTGTATATGTTGGAAGGGAATTTTAACCCGGGGATGGAAGTAGATTGATGAGCATTAGGATTTTGTTTGAAATTCAGTGTTTCTATTTTATGAAATCAAATCATGGTGTCATCTATTTGTTAATAAAGCTAGGGTCTGGGGGTGTTTGTGGTTATAGTAATTATTTTTGATATTAATGTATCAAAATAATTTAAAATTATTAAAAAAATATTAATTTAAAAAATTCAAATATTTTTTAAAATACTTTTTAAATGTAGATATAACACTATGTGTTTTTTTTTTTTAAATATGGATCTGCCACAATTTCAAACTTACGTATATGTCATCAATTTTAATATTACCTTATTTTGAAAAATGGTTAACATGGCATAACTTAATCTCATGAAAATTATTGAAAAATCTTGAACAAAAACGGATGTTAACAATAAAAAGATTGAGAGCTTGGCCGGAAAACGTTTAATTTTCAATGAATAATTTTCTAATATTTGTTTTATTTTTCACAAAACAAATCCATCCTTGTATATGCTTATTATTTGCTGTTAAAGCAAAATATTTAGAGTGTGCGTGTGGCATTGCAATCAAAACATTGTTGGTTAAAAAAGAATTATTTATTTGTTTCACTTAAATATTTTTTATAAAATATTTTATATGCAAAAAAAAATTAATATTTGATTTCAAAAATATTTTTTCATGCAAATATTTTTTAATGATAATGATAATAAAATGATAGAGATTATGAAAATAATATTTTAAAAAAAATGATAAAAAAAAAGTAATTATTATGATGGTTAAAAATATAATGGTAAAACAATAACAATAACAATAAAAAATTTATTATAATAATAAAAAAAAATATTATATACAATGATAGCGATAAAAGAGTTGGTGATAAAAATAGTAATGACAAAAAAAAATAATGATTAGTGAAATAATTAGATAATATTGTAGTTAAAAAATATTTTTAATAGATAAATAGAAAAATTTTAAAAATATTTCCCTGTAAAGACTTTGACATGAAACAAAGACTCCCTTAATATACTATGCGAGACAATCCAAAAGCACTTTTATTATATTATTTGAAACTATACTCTAAACTATTATTCTAACTAGATATTTTATTAAGTCAAAACCCACAATCACATCTCAGCTGCTAAGCAAAGTGGTTCCTAGAGATTGAATTATAACTATATAATTGTTTAAACGGAGATAACAAATAATATATACAATAAAAAAATAGAAAATCTATAAATCTTTTAAAATGGATCTTCTAAAAAGAAAGCTACCTCTGCATCTCTCTTTTATTTTTTTATTTTCATTCGGATAGCTATTGACTGGTATTCCAAAATAAATTACTATCTCAAGTTAATAATGGCATAATTTATCACGCTGATATGCAAACTAGTGGTAGTTATTTTAGTTTTATTTTTTTAAAAAAAAAATTGATAGTTATTTTTTTTTGTATAAAAACCCCAAAACCGTAGATTTCAATGGCAAAATCAGCGGTTTGGATTTCATTAGACATGGCAGGGAGACAAACCTTGACTCGTTATGAGAATTAGAACAACCAAACAAGCCTTAATTTTCACATTGGATCCGTTTGGAAGCCCAATTCTATTGACCCAAACCGAATAAAGTGAGGGTTTGTGTATAAAAACTCCGAGAAGTGCCGAACCCCTTCTCAAGCTTGCAACTTGCATGTCCAGGCATTGGAGAAGCAGAAGGGTTTCTCTCTCGCTCCATTTGCTACAATGAGAGCCAAGGTGATCCAATCTCTCATTTCTAGAAAACGCGAATCATGAAAAGCCTGTTTAATTAAAAGATTCGAGAATGATTAATTGGTAATTTTACCTGTCTTTGCAGTGGAAGAAAAAGCGAATGAGGAGGTTGAAGAGAAAACGTCGAAAGATGAGGCAAAGATCCAAGTAGTTGCAGTTTTAGCTCGCCAAGGCATTAATTAATCTTCGCTGCTACTTCCATCGTGAACCATTTTGTATTATGTTGAATCACTTGATGATGTTTCGGAAATTAATGGGTTTTTTCTTTTCTTTTCTTGTCATGTGGTGTGAATGCAAATGTCATGCAATCCCTGATCAATCACTTGTCCTGCTTCCAACTGTTGCTTTGCTCCAAAACTTGCTCGTTCTTTAGGCTTTACTGCAATCCAAATAGTTTTCGCTGTTTCGGGGATAGGTGATTTTTAATCCCATTGCACCTAGCATATCAAAACTGCAATGTTCTTTTGTTAGGGTGAGAAACGTTGTCGTATACTCAAATACTTTGCTCTTTGAACGGGTTTCATGACAAATTCATGTATTTTGGAAGTTAGAAGCATCGCCTTCTGGTTTGTAGGAATTGCGATTTGTTATATATGGGTCTTCTGCAATTTGCAGTGTAGGTGAGGAGATTTCATTGATTTGCTGGGATGCTTTATGCTTGTGCCTAGGAAGTGATGTCAGATGCCTTCAAGGTCGACATTTTTCATTTTATTTTGCAGTATTGATTGTATGAATTTCATTTACCCTTTAAATCAAATGATAGAATCCCATTTCACTACATGAATTTAGAATTCTCAATTTCGCTGGAGTAGTCAATCTCACTACTTAGATATTCTGCACTCTGACCTTTTTAATCCAGTACTTGCCATCCCCGTCATGATTCCATCAACCAAGTTGTCTACTCAGATTATAAAATTATAAGAATTTATGTACATAGATTTTTATTGACTAACTTAAAAGTAATAGCTGCAATACAATTCTATGCTTTACGTAAGCTCCAAAAAGTCTAAGTTAGGATAAATAACATTAGATTTTTTTGTCCTATCTGTAACTTCAGTTTCTAGCGGTTAAACCAGGAGTCTCCTGTCTCCGCTGTTTCCATGAGAGAATTTTCTGTACATGTTGGAAGGGAATTTTAACCCGGGGATGGAAGTAGATTGATGAGCATTAGGATTTTGTTTGAAATTCAGTGTTTCTATTTTATAAAATCAAATCATGGTGTCATCTATTTGTTAATACAGTCTGGGGGTGTTTGTGGTTGTAGTTATTTTTTAAAATGTTTTTTATTTAAAAATATATTAAAATAATATTTTTTTTATTTTTTAAAAATTATTTTTAATATTAATGTATCAAAATAATCTAAAATTATTAAAAAAATATTAATTTAAAAGATTCAAATATTTTTTAAAATACTTTTTAAATGTAGATATAACACTGTGTTTTTTTTTTTTTTAAATATGGATCTGCCACAATTTCAAACTTACGTGGCTAAGTAACATTGGTTTATGATGATACCTAATTTTTCTTAAAAAAAAGTTTTTAGATATTTTTTCTCAGAGAAACATGTGTCATCAATTTTAATATTACCTTATTTTGAAAAATGGTTAACATGGCATAACTTAATCTCATGAAAATTATTGAAAAATCTTGAACAAAAACGGATGTTAACAATAAAAAAGTTGAGAGCTTGGCCGGAAAACGTTTAATTTTCAATGAATAATTTTCTAATATTTGTTTTATTTTTCACAAAACAAATACATCCTTATATATGCTTATTATTTGCTGTTAAAGCAAAATAGTTAGAGCGCGCGTGTGGCATTGCAATCAAAATATTGTTAGTTAAAAAATATTTATTTATTTTGTTTTGAAAAAAAATTTCATGTTTTTTTATCATTTTAATATATTAATATTAAAAATAAATTTAAATTTAAAAAAAATATTTATATATATTTTTAAACAAAAAAAATATTTTAAAAAACAACCATTATTACATTTACTCTTAATCAGCCATCAGCGCATAAAATCTCAAGCACTATATATGCCAACAGGATGCATGGTACTATCTACAAATGATAAGAAATACTCCTGTCTTGGTAATATGACATTTTAATCTCGAAAATTGATTTTTTTAATTCTATAAATTGAAAACCCGTTTTATATATATATTGTGGCGCAAATGGTATGCAATGCCAGATAAGTCTCTTGTCGTGCATTAATTCTGAAACGGTATGTGATTGACTCTTGAGTCCCTTATCGTAAAAGATTTCTGTTGTGGTCCTTAACTTGCTGGTCTTTCAGATTTTAGGGCGGTCGAAGCATGGCTGTCTGTTTATTGGATAGATGGTTTTTGGTCCTGTTAGAATCTACCATAGCAAAACTGCAATGTTTCTTTTGTCGCGGTGATAAACATTATTGAGCGATTGACCTGGTGTCAGCATGATGGTGCAAACTTTATGTGCCTCACATGGGTTTGGAATGCAATAAATTTTTCTGTTTAGTTGGTGATTCTGGTGGAAAGTCATACTATGTGCTAAGTATGCGCTAAGCATGCCCTAGTATTTACGATGTTATTTAGGAAGTGGCTTCTGGAGTGCATGGGAAAGGCACTGCTATTGGGGGAATATCTGACAGATTCGGTGAATTTGTTGCCGAGTGTTTTCCCATGCATTCAGTGACTGTAATTACGATATTGCGGAATACAGATTATGTTTCCAGAAATTCATCGAAGAAATTGTCAAGAACAAACCGAATCCTGGAGACAAACTATAAGTAATGCCTTCCCTTCGAGGCATTGTTGAATTTGCCCATCTTAGATAGATAAATTCATGAGAAATCGAAATGCCTTCTCAAATGTTTATGCTATCCGGTCATTGTCCTCTGTGATTTTCCTTGCCCTCTTGTTCTGATTGCAACATGCTGAAAGCTTGAGATGATCATTGTTCAGAAACCAATGCTTAGTGTGTCTTATCCATTAGAGCTAGAGAAAATGAATTCATAATTTATGGAACTCTCCCATTCTATTGAATTTCAGGAGGCACTGGCTAATACTTCTATAGCACTAATTGATACACTTCATGCTAGTGGCCTTCTAATACACCACTCTGGCACTCAATAATATATCATTCAGATACATGTCTAAACAAATTGGATAACCTTAACACACTATTGTTTGAGACTACACATTCCAATCTTCTTTAGCTCTTGAAACGCACGTATGGTCTCTGCATCAAAACCACCTGCGAACTGAATGTTTTAACTTCATGGTTAGTAAATATGACTGATAAAATCTCAAGATTGAGCTTGATGGAGTTCAACCTTTACCTGGTGTACACGATAGGCAAATCTAGCTCCTTGAAGCAAGAGATTATCTTCTCCCGCGCATTCATTAAGCTGCAGTTCTTTAGTTATCCTTTTCAAATAAATCTTGGCTAGCCTCAAAGAACTTAATTTCATCTGCAAACAATGTCAAGACTGTCGGTGCTGTGTTCTAACTTTATAATTTCAGTATAAAGCTGCTCTCTTGATAATATTTGTGTGAAAATATTGGAAGATGTAGAAACTCTTTCTTTGGAGTTCTTCAAGTTGATGCCATTATGAGATGCAATATGCAGAATCTAGAAAATGCAGTAGTGGGGCATCATAATATCTAGATCGGTTTAGTCGTGTGGCCACCAAATTTTTCTTATCATTACAAATTAGTCTCTTAGGAGAAGCCATTTGTCTGTTCTGCTGCTTAAATTCTAGAGAACGCAGGAGGCTAGACCATTACGTTTATCCTGCTTTTTCGCTGAGACTCTTTTTGGTGGGATGTATATTACCAAATGATACACTCTGATCTATTTGAATGGGAAGGAGCAGTTGCCTTCATATAAATTTATCAATTTGAATGGGAAGGAGCAGTTGCCATCATATAACAAGTGAACGTCTGTTTGTTTCTGTAAATGTGAAAATTCTTGGCATGTTAAGCTGTTGTGCTAATTTTATATTAATAATAATTGAGTTGGCAAGGTACTGTCATTAGTTGAACTATCATGCTTATGGTAAAAACCAGCTACATGATACCTACCTGACCGATCAACCCCGTGTTCAGCAACCATTCCCATGGGATCTGAAAATCCCTGTATCTCTTGATCATGCTCTCTCTCGTCCTTTCCATATTGTCAATACTTCGCTCCAACCTGTAAATTTGGTGTTTGATCGTTTCGTTAATACTCAGCATTGAGTCAAAACAGGAAATTACTGCAATTTAGTTTGTACATGCTCGCCTGTCTTGCAATGCTTGCATTCTTCCCAGGGCTAGGGTCAAAAGATCTTTTGGATTGTCCTGGAATGATGAAACTTCAGACTCGAGGTTCATTAGGTCTCGGTAGTTGAAAGCAGCTTCTCGCAAAGCATCTGCTTTTCGTTCTGGCCATTGTGGGAAATGCTTCAACACTGCCCTCTCGTCAACCAAAGATGATAATTCATCATCTAGCCATTTCACAAATGCCTTCACATCAGATATGTCTTTGAAGGCTGAAGACTCCACTTCTTTGATTAGGAAATTGATAAATTCCTTCTGTTTTTCCACATCCGATTTTATCTGTTCAATTAGCATGCATTTTGTCACCAGAGAGTAACAATTCGTTAAGAGCTTAATGAGAAGAGCAGGTTGCAACTAACTTACAGCAGAAAGATAACTGGAGCGATTCTCAATTTCTCCTATCATGTTAGGAGTAAATGCGAGTACAGGAATAGCAGCTGAGTTGGTTCTGTTCTCCATGTGGGCATCTCTCCTTGTAAGCAAACGATAGAACTCCACAACTTCTGGCACACGGCGCACTGCTTTTGACCCAGCACACATATTTGGTGGGGGAGGTGGAGGCGGTGGTGCAGATGCTGGTGGCAACTTATTGTCCTTCGCTTCCTTGAGTGATGGAGGGGCTACAGAAGTAGGCCTTGGTGGTGGATTTGGTACTTTTGCCAGCTTCTCTTTTCTCGCAGCTAGTTCTTGTATACTCGGTCTTGGACTTGAATGTTCCACACTCCTTTCTGAGACTTTGACAAAATCTGATTGTTTCTGCTGAAATACTTCAGTTTTGCTGCTGTCAAAGGGATTCTGTAATTTCTTCCAAAGCATGGATTTCCTCTCATTGTCGTGTGCTTTGAGTGAACTTATTTGTGCTTTTAGACGAACTACTTCTTGTCGTAAATCCTGATTTTCTTTCTCCAGTGAATCAGTCCTTAGCAGAGCCGCTTCGACTTCTTTCTTGAGGTAGATGATCAATGATTCATCCTCTTCTTTTCGCATTTTCCTCTCTTGTTCTGCTTTCATCGGAGCAATAACAGGAGATTGGAATCGCATTCAATAGCTAGACCTTTCCCCTTTTATTTATTTGTCTTGCTTTTGAAGCAAGGAGTTCTCACCTAAGCCTGAAGAGAGATACTCAAGAGAATACCCCTTATTATGCTTAGAAATGGCACTTCTGGCATGCAGACCATTGTATCCTATACAGGGTATTTCTGACTTTTTGTTAAATCAGAAATTGTGATTTGTTGTATTTGCCCTCTTTTTTAGTTTGCAGTGTAGGTGAGGAGATTTCCTTGGTTTGCTGGCATGATTTATAGTTGCCCCTAGGAAGCTATGTTAGGTGCAACATTAAATTCTCAGGTCAAATTTAACTCTCCTCTTTTATTCTTTTTTGCCTTATTCATTGTACATCACTGACCCGTGAAATCCTGGTAGAATCCCATTTTCCTGCTGTGGCATACGTCGCTAGGTTTCATCAAGCCATTGGCATGTTTTACACGTAGACTGGTTAGGCATGGCCCAAGGAGAAGCAATTGAGATATGACTGATTGCAAACTCCCAACTGCCCATCTGTGGACTTCCTCTTCCATTCTCCATTGCACAAGTGTAAGCCCCAGAGTGGGATGGTGGAATCGCATGGTCAAACCAGGTTTCAATTAAGATTCTCCTAACGTTGAACTCTACGAGCTTTTCCAGAGGTCTTGAGGGCACTGAATTGCATTAGTTATTCTTTGCTTGTTAAGCAATGTGAACAGGTAAAAAACGAAGCACATTAAAGATGCTGGCGGTGGTTCACTTAAAAAAAGAAAGGCGATGATAGATAAAACCTACCAGAACAAGCTTTTTTACTCTTCTTTGTCCCCCTTCCTTCTCAAGGAAAAGGATGGAAGCGCGCTATGCTTAGGTTTTATTATTGAAGTAGCCTACCTTTGTGTAGGCCCTCCTGGTTATCTTCCATGACACAGTATCTCTATGTGATTTATTTTATATGGATTGATCAGAAATTGATAAACGATTAATCTAGAAAGTAATTCAGCTAAAAGTCAAGAATATCTCTGATGGTGAGGTTTTATTTCCCGTGGTAGTTGAAGAGAGGCAGAATGATAAAATACCACCATTTTGGCAAGACAGGAGACAATGTACAAGGTTTAGAAGGATCCAAGAAATCTTTGCAGGAATCTATTCTTCAGCTCTAGAAAGCAGAAACTAAAGTTCAGGAGCAATCACTGGAACATATAGGACTCAAAATCTGTATGATTCTTACTTCTCAACATTAAAAGAAAAGGTAGTCCTCCTTCCTAGGAGCTGCAGGAGCTTGTTTTTGCTTTGATTTTCAGCTTTACTCTTTTTGAAGGCCCCATGGCCATCATTAGCTCGTAAACCGAGTCCTCAAATGCCAAGGGAACATAATAGGCTAATAGACTAGCTAACAACTTGCTGATGACTCAAGAAATGTGGAAGGATGACATGGGCAGAACATGTCTTATTTGTATCAGTATTTGAGCCACAGGAACTTGGTCGGCAATTCATTTGCGAACAATATTAGTAGGGTTGTTTAATGAGAAGTGGGTTTTTATAATTATTTAAAAAAAAATTATTATTAATGAGAAGTGGGTTTTTATAATTATTTTTAAATTTTTTCTGTTTGTTTTTTTATTAAAAAATTAATTAAAAAAATATTTTTTAGTAAAAAATTAACTTAATTTTTAAAAAAGTGTTTTTTATATTTTAGATGAAAAACATTTATAAAAAATTTAAAAATTTTATATTATTTGATAATTATACTAAATTTGATCCTTAAATTTTTTATTGTTATATATTTTTTTATTTTTTTTATTTCATCCCTTATATTTTAATTTTAATATTAATTTTAATCCTTATTTTTTTATAATTATTATTTTTTTCTTATCATTTTTTAAGTGAAAATTTGTATTTATAAGTTTCTGTCTTCATTCTTCTTATTGTTATTTATTTTATTAGATATAATTATTATTTTAATTTCATTATCTTTTAATTTTTTTATTTATTAGAATTGATCTTTATTATTCTAATTATTATTTATTTTATTTAAAATAATTTATGAAATAATTTCATACTTATTCAATTTTTAAATTTTTTAAATTTATTTTTTATTATTTTAATAAACTTCAAAAAAATATTAATAAGTTATTTTTTAATTTATTTTTCATGATATAACTAAGCACTAAAAAATATTTTCATTTTATTTTTCATAATACTATTAAATATTTAAAATAATTAACTTTTCAAAATTTTATTTTAAAAAAAACTATTTTAAAAACTATTTTTCATAAAAAAAACTAAAGTAAATTAACTCGGGTCATTTTTTAAGTGAAAATTTGTATTTATAAGTTTCTGTCTTCATTCTTCTTATTGTTATTTATTTTATTAGATATAATTATTATTTTAATTTCATTATCTTTTAATTTTTTTGTTTATTAGAATTGATCTTTATTATTTTAATTATTATTTATTTTATTTAAAATAATTTATAAAATTAGATTTTTTTTAATTTCATACTTATTCAATTTTTTAATTTTTAAAATTTATTTTTTATTATTTTAATAAACTTAAAAAAATATTAATAAGTTATTTTTTAATTTATTTTTCATGATATAACTAAACACTAGAAAATAAAATTATAAAAGATAAGGATAAAATAATTTAAAAATATATTCAATAAGTTTATTTATTTAAAATATTTATTTCTAATTTTTAAAAAGTTACATTTTTAATAAGTGATAATTAAATCTTAATCAATTTAACCAGTACACAAGAAAAGTTTAGTGTATTTACTTTTTGTACTAGTTTAAATATTAGTTTCTTGAATTTTATATTTTCAAGTTCGTATCATAGAATTAATTAATTTAACTCGATTGATTTAGCAATTCAACTTGTTAATGTTTTTTTTTTAATTTAAAATGATTTCATTTTTTTTAAATAAAGTTTTTTTTTAATTTAAAATGATTTCATTTTATTTTATTTTTAAATAAATTAATTCATTTGATTTGTGACTCAGAAAAATAAGTTATCATCCTCAATTTGACTGGAATACCCAAACCCACAGGAAGGAGCTCAACACCCTGACCTTTTCTGTCCAGCATTTTCCACCCCTGCCCTGACCTTTTTTGTCCAGCATTTTCCACCCCCGTTATGGAGAGCATCAACTAAACCTGTGTGTTACAGTGTATTTCCAATTCGTGATTACGTTGTAAGGTCTGTCATGAATTTCAGCTTCTGTGGTGTATCCACCGTTGTCTGTTAAGAAGATGATACTCTTTTGTCCACCGCAGCATAGTTGACACATCTTGTGCTGTCATCTGCAAACCAAATTCCACAGCTTTACGCATCCAACATTACACAACAGTTTCAAGTATGAAATAAGACCACTATGTGGCCAGTAACCTTATAAAGTTATTCCATAGAGGGATGAAATGTATTCATTTTCATGCAAGTAACAGATGGATTAATGAAAACAATACCAGGTGCCAACCTGAAAGCTCCCATCACCCATGCAAGCAATCACACTCTTATCTGGCATGGACTGTGCTTAGCCAAGCGTTGCACCAACTTTTGTTCCTTCTATGTTTCGAAAAATCCGTAATAAAGACAAACAAGTTTAGGCCTTTCGATTCTACCCCCACATCCTTGTTATTTGAGTTTCTGGCAGCTAAACCAGGAGTCTCCAGTGTCGGCAATCACAGCTGGGTCCCCTGAGAGCATTCTCTGTATGCGTTGAAAGAGAATATTAATCCTTAAATGTTCCTTAGGATCACATTTGAGAGGAAGTCCCTCTGAAATATAGATCATGCTGGAGCGTGTTCTTGTTTAGCCTTTTCGCAAGTCCTTCATTAGGACACACCCGAAAGCAGTTCCATTAGATGCTACAACACGATCAGGCTGCAATGATTGCCTTTTCCTTTTTGAGGAGGAGAGAATATCTGACGGAGATTGGGCCGATGAGGATGTACTCATCGGCGGATTCAGCAATTTCAGAACAGAAAGGATCAGTGCTCACATCTCCCCAGTAAGTACCAACAAGGTGGTATTCTTTCACTAGTCCTTTGGCTACGCACAGTCCATGCCAGATAAGCGTGATTTATTTGTTGTAGTTGATCCGAGGTTCAATATCCTGTAAGAAAAACAAAACACAATAATTTTTGTAAAAATGATGAATCCATTGAACCACAAATTAATCTTGTAATTAAGCCAACGATCCAGGCTCTTTTCAGATCAATCCTCGTTCAGGTCTCAGAACTATTACCATGAGTTGATAGAAGAAAAATTGCACATCTCTGCGTCAACCATAAATGATTAGTTGTTGCCGCTCTCAAATCACAATCTTGCTCACACGCAATACATGCATTACACGCAGAGTCGCATTTCTCAAAGAATAATCCAAAATACTATGATTTTCAGAACGTAATTATTAATTTCCTTGATGGTATTCTTTGTTTTGCCTGATAGCAAGTTACAGTTCCGAAGCACCGAAATTACAGACAAAATCAAGCAATCCAATGACAGGAAGATTCTCACTGTAAGCCCCAGCAATGGGCACAGTGAACGCAACAACACAAGCGCCAACAACACCATCAGCCCCATAGCCTGCACGGAACTCATCCCAGCAACCAATGCTGCTAAGCCCTGAAAGAGTAGCTGGAAAATGTCTCAATTCCTTCACAGTTCAGTTTTTTAACAACCGTTGAAGTCTCAAACATAACTAGCAAAATGAATGACTATTAACGGATATTAAAGAAAACGTTTTAATTTAAAAACTACTAAAGGAACGATCAGCAGAAAAAGTCCTTCGGTACTAATTTGACTCGTCGAAGGATTGTTTACACAAGTCCATTGACAAATTAAAAATTTGCACAGGTACAAATCATTCACAGAATCTATTAAATTTCATATACTCGGAGATGGAACTAATTTTCAATTCGCTTCGGATATTCAATACTGGTTGATTTTTCTTCATTTATAGGCTTGTTGGGTGATTGTAAATCGATCCCGGGGTGGCTAGTGCATATGAAGACCCTTTTCTTTTGTAAAGTTAAGTCCTTCCACTAAAATTAACTCAAGGTAATTTGACTAATTTTGTGGGCATGCAACAAACTAATTTAAGGCTTATCAATGGTTGCTCATCAGATAATCAAGGTTGGCAGTGATAATGGTTGCAGTTTTGGACGACCGGAGTAAGGTCGGAAAGAACATGCAGGATAATTCAGGTCTCCACATTTATATCTATAGATATCTCTCAAGTCTCAATCAAATATAGAAGAGTATTATTTGGAAGCCAAATTAATCAACAATTTGATAAGAAATTGCACAGATTAACAGACCAAATTATATATAGAAACACAGAGAGAGTGAGGAGGAGGGGGGACGCCACTCAAACCTCTTCTTTGATCACTTAGACTATATATATATGTATGTATGTATGTATGTATATATGTATGTGCGCGCGCCACCCTCCCACATTCTAGAGCTGGGTTTTCATGGAGCCTTTGCACAAGGAAATTTGATAGATGAATCTTTCAACAACATCAATAGTAGCACACAAATCATGCCCCTGATATAAAGATGATATAATTCAGACTCTGCACAGCTCAAGGAATTATATCCCAATAAAAACTTGCCTGTAACAATTTTGTTCTTTTTTTAAAAAAAGAAACTTCAACCCCCACCCCACCCCAAAGCAATTATAACCGGCTTGTAAACAATTGTTTGAGAACAAAACCCTACCTCAAAACCTTGACAATACCCAGACCACAAAACCACAACCCTCAACATGCAAACATGACCCAAAGTTTGACCAAAAGCTAGCAGAATCAAACTGCAGAATGCATAGACCCCAAACCATTCGTCACCCATAAACCAGGTCCAACAAATTTCAAGAGCATGAGAAAATTGTCAAAATGGACGAGACATGTGGTTGACACCCAACTTCATCATAAAGGGAATGAGAAAAAAAAACAAATCAACCCTCAAGTTGAGGGATCAGGTTTCTCCTCTTTCTTATCTTCACAGGTCTTAGTTTCCTCTTCCTTGGCTGCAGTTGGTGACTCTTCGACAGCTTTCTCCTCAATTTTCTTCTCTTCAACACTCAACTTATCCAATGCATCCGCAGCAGTAGTTGCATCCTTGTTTTCCTCATTGCTCTTTTGGGATTCAGCAACTTCTTGAAACATTTCCATAAAAGTTTTGCAATCTGAGGAAAAACCCAATATTAGTAATCAACAGGAGGAAGAATGTTTGTATGATGCATGTGTTTAGAATTCACGTGTCAAGGAGGAGACATCACGGCAAATTATGCATGTACAAAAAAAATACAACCATCCATCATGCTAGTGTAAAAGTCAAGACAATTAGATGGAGGCCCACCATTAAATGAACCAAGGTTTCTTTCAATATAAATCCACACAGCCCACTTCTCCAACCCCATTTTGCATAGGCCTTGACTCAAACTCAAGTTCCACTAAATGAAAAAGACATTT